TAAATCAAACGTACCGTTATAGGTATGGTGATTTATATTGTTTACCGATGAGTTCCGCGATATAATTTATTCGTTATTGTGTGGTGGTCGTCGATAAGAATGAAAACCAAAAACGAAACAATCACGCTCAGATGAAATTAAAATACCCACACGGCGGTTTATTGTTTGAACGGACAGACAACTGTACCGTGCAGTGTATTATGAGCTAGTCGAGTCGTGGTAGTGTTTCAAGTCGAGCCGTGACAGCGCTTTAGTCGAGTCGTGGCAGCGCTTCAGAGCAGACACGTACCCAGCGGTCGGTAGCTCTTCAAAGGCAGTCACTACTCAAGGCATCGTCAAATCCATGCGAGCAGGTGCGTCCTAAAYCACGCTCAGCGCCCAACAGCAGCAGCCCCATGCGCGCAGGTGCACAAAAGCAGATCCTTACCCGTCGGCTACAAGACCCCGTGCGCGACCACCAAGACAGCAGTTCAGCCGGGACGGTGAATAAGAAAAGTCGGACCAAAAAACAGGCAGGCGAAGACAATTCAGTTCACYAGYGACCCAGGGCTCAGGCCCCTGGTAGCACAATGTCTTACGCCAGCTTAGACGGTGAAATGGACCTCACTAGCMGGGTCGTGGCGGCACTGATTGAAGCGGACGTCTTCAATCGGAACCATGACGCCTATTCGAGCCTGAGAAAAAAAGACAAAGACTGCAGAAACCTCCCAGGCTACCTTGGAACCACCTCAGGTCAATGCGAGCCTCAGGGAAAAATTGAACAAAATGAGGTCCATACTCAAAGAAAATTATCGAAAAAACAGCGAACATTTCCTTGAACTTGAARGGTTACTTACAAAGACTGCTAGTTCAAACCGATGAGGCGCACCAAATGGTAGATTCCCTTCTCTCGAAGAGGGGGAATGTGYTGAACCTACCAGAGTTCGGACCACCTCACACAGACATACAATCAATAAGAACGTCTCCACTGCTGATGTCTCCATGGATATGATTCTGACCCCTGACTTTTGGGATAAYAATGTGGTCATAGAGTCGAAGGCGGCATCTGCTCGCAGAAGAACACGGACACCAAAGGTGCCAATTGGCCAGCTCCTGCAGAAAGTAAAGACGGACGTTGCGATGGAAACTGACACAGAAGTCTAGTGCCAAGTCGTCAGCCGACGCAWCCCAGCCGTGGACTCCGGGGGCAGGGAGGCTATCATCGCCTACTTTCTGTTCCCGGCAGCTTTCGTCACGGATTGGGGCTTGGMTCCTTCCTCAGCGATGYACAACATCTTCCAGGCGTTTGACCAGGTRCTGAACAGGCTAGAGTTTACCCAAATCATTTCAGGATTCAAGCCAGAAGAACTCGGTAGAGCGGTCAAGAGGCTCGCACCGGGCAAGTCAGCCGGACCTTCGGAGATTCCCAACGAGATCCTCAGGACTACCACGTCCACCCAGYCCAGCGCAGTCCTCAGGGTTTTCAATGACTTGCTGACGTTTCCGCCATGYTGGAAGAGGGCATGGCTCTGTAAGGGCCCAGACAAACCTCCGAACGCCCCGTCGAGATATAGGCCGATCTGTATGCTGGACACCCCAGGCAAGTTGCTCGAGAGGCTCCTTCTCTAAAGGCTCTAGGATCATCTGGACGAGCACGGGGAACAGATCAGCACGGAGTCTGMAATGGCAAGGTACTCGGCATCGCCACACAGGCAGCCCGAGAAATAAGAGTCTCTGCGTTTTGGTAACTCTGGACGTCAGAAATACCTTAAATTCCTTGAAGTGGCCTGTAATCAACGCAGCCTTGAGGCACATCAACACCCCGGAGTACCTGGTAGAGATGCTCTGGTCTTGGCTGACTGATAGAACGCTGCTGACTGGTGAAGATATGGCGGAGAGGTTGGTGACCTGCGGAGTGCCACAGGGTTCTGTTCTTGGCCCAGCCTTGTGAAATGTCGCCTATGATTCCCTCCTGATGATGGACACGCCACCTAAAGTGCAGCTCGTCAGCTTTGAGAACGATCTCACTCTCACAGTCGTAGGAATGGCCGTGATCGGGCAGCAATTCGAAGACGCAATCAATCCACACAATGATGGCCATCAACGACTGGATGCGGAGCAGCGGCCTGGAGTTGGCTCATCAGAAGAGTGAAGCGGTGATCCTGTCCCGGAGACGTTTGTCCCACCCCGACTGGTACCTCGGGTCATTCTGGACAAGCGTCTGACTTTTGCAGCCCACGCGAACACTATCGTAACGAAGCCAGCCCGCTCAGCCGCTACTCTGTCCAGGCTTATGCCAAACATAAGTGGACCGGTTCGATGAAAGAGGATGCTGCTAGCGTCTGTTGTATTCACTCAGCTGTCGTACGCCGCTCCTGTCTGGATCTCCGCCATCACAAATTTTGCCAGAACCAGAACGATCTTGAACCGTCCACAGAGGACTGCCGCCATGAGARTGATCCGGTCTTATCGCATCATGTTGGACCAGGTCACTCTGGTTCTGGCCTGCATGCCACCCGCCGATCTGCTCAGACTGGAGAGACGTAGTATCAGATCCCGACTGCGCGCTGTATTGGAGCCCGGCGAACAACGGCCTTCCAAAGCAACCGCGAAACGTGAGGCGAGAAACGCAACGATCGGTGCCTGGCAGGCTAGATGGCAAGCAACCTCAAAAGTG